GGAGAACTTGCAAAGAGGGCATCGATGTCTTTGAGAACAGGCGTACCAATCTCCTCATTGAGAAACGTGCCAAGAGGAAGCCCAACAGGAAGACCAACCCACTTTATCAATGAAGCACTTGCAATAGGGCTTGCGGCTCTAGAATTGGACTTTACTCTCACGAAAGGACTCATTGGTAATTTGCAGATAGAATACTCATGTGTTGGCTCACAACGATAGAAAAGAATCCATATAATCAATCTCAATCAATCTTGCGGCCTCAGCCGAGATTGAACCCACCAATACTTTGATTGGTGTAGTTCATAATCTTATCAAATAGCTGAATTCTTGATGCTTCGCTAGGGCTATCAAGGGAGTTTTTATCGTGACACCAACACTAAATGGATTGCCAACCAAGGCTCAGAGAGACTCCATTCACCCTCCTCTAAGAGCAGTTTTCCTTCTCCTAGACCAGTTGCCATCCAAGGCTATAGAACCCAGTCTGTCCTGCTATTTACCCATAGCTGGAGGGAGAAGAGAGAGGATTCACACCTTTCCCAAGGGTGTTAGCACGTAAGTGAATGTAATGGATTCGACTGGAATTCGAACTCTGCTTTCCGATTCCTTAATCCACGCCGCTATCCATTACTCAAATATAATATCTAAGACACTAGATGAATCTTCTAGTCTCACGAAAGTACACATCGGTAATTTGCAGATAGAATACTCATGCGTTGGCTCACGAAGTGGGAATACATATATAGGGGGTGGAGTTTCGGGGGTAAAAATTCAGTAATAAATAATATATATCTGTAAAGATATCATAAATAAAAGACATTAGAAAAAACTTTTTCTTTACCAACGCGTTTCGTCCTCTGAAGAACTTTATCAACGTAAATTTGAAGATGTTATTCTTTAATTTGCATTTACACAAAGAAGTGGAATAAAACATCGTCATGTTTTCAAAATTTTAAATTTGAGAATACTCTAAATTATGTCTAAAGCTAAAACTCCGTATGCCTTTGATGTGTATGTCTACAAACGGTCTATCCATGAAATTGAATTCTTTCTCCATCTCCCGATAAATATAGGAAATTTCAAACAGGTTTTTTTTATGTATAGCGAGATATCGCAGTACTAAAACAGACTATATTTCTTGGTCCAGCCAGGTCTAACTTTTAACCTGCCATGCCACGCACATCGTAGCAAACCACCCGCATTGCCTCCGTATTCTATGGGTGAGAATTAAGTTCTACTCAGCATCTTTTTCCTGCGAACCACTGCTCATGGAGCCGACTCCCAACGGGTTGTTTCTCCGATTACTACAATCTTAATCTGTTCAAATCTAGAGTCAACCCTTATCTTCCACTCCTATCCATTTGCACTGCCCCTTAAAGCAAGCCTCTACCACGAGTTACTCCCTACAGGGTGAACTTTACTGTTAAAAAAACAAGCTCTTATATGTGCGTGTCCGTGTGAATGCGTATATATATATATATATATATATATATATATATATATAGGTAATGATCCGTTGGTATATAATCATTCAATCATATAAAATATTAAAACGAACCACAAAGAAAGCTCAATATATTTATACTAATAGTGCATATAAATTACGTAAAAAAGGAATTTATAATTACCTCATGTTATGATTATTTCACCTTACGAGTTAAGATTTACTCGCAAGGATTTTCAAACCGATCAAGGTATTAGATTAAATAAAAGGAAAAGAAACTAGACCTAAAGTAAATTTCAGAACAAAGCCTTGCGAGTAAATATTTTAATTCGTAAGGTGAAATGATCATAACATGAGGTAATTTTAAATTCCTTTTGTATATATATATATATTTATTAAAGACATTTTTATGTTTAACGTTGTTATTTTATAGATACAAGTATTTAAGCAAATGCTCTGTTTATGATAAACAGTATTAAATAACATTTACCGGCCTGAATGTCCGAGAAATTTTCATAGAAAATATTCGTTCTTTGACAGGATTCGAACCTGCATCCTTACGGAACAGTCATATACGCTGACGACCTCTAGCTACAAAGAACCGTTCGAAATTTACTGCTTATAAACCCAATCTTCCATGAATCTCGTACATTCATAACTGCTCTGGCGTATTGAATGTAAACAAATGACGTCATATATTAAGAAATGGTACAAGGTCCGACAATTTATTTAATAAAGACATTTTATGTTTAACGTTGTTGTTTTATCATAAAAACAGTTTATAACAGAGGCCTGTCAAAGAAATTTTCATATTCTTTGACAGGAGGTCGAAATACGAAACCGTTCATATACGTGATCTATCTAAGCTACAAATATTTTATAAGCAAAATTCGTTAAACATAAAACAGAGCATTTGCTTAAATCTTTATAAAAAATAAAAATTGTCGGACCTTGTCCATTTCTTAATATATATATATATAGAGAGAGAGAGATTGATAAATATATATAGAGAGAGATATTGTTAAATTTTAATCCCCCCACCTTCATCTTTAGACCTTCCTGTTCTTCTCCTGTTCTTCTATCGTCTGTTACCCCTCTCTATAGCTTTCATTTACTTTAACATTCGTCCCACACTCTCATACATACACTCTCACTAAATTTTAATTTTTTATTCCCGGAGTTGATTTTTCTGTTTTCTTTTTGAATTTGTAGGTCTGATGAATTGGATCTTATTTACGATTCCAGTGGAATAAATTATGACCATAGAATATTAGTGTTTAAGCCTTTTTATTATCATATATATATATATATATTAGCTTAAACGCCGTCCTTTAAGCTAGTTCATGCGGATGGCTTTTGATTGGGCCTTCATCCCAATAGGTAGATACGCAACAATAAACTACAGAACAACACAAAATTGATCGCTGCATTTAAGCATTGCATCAATATTTAAGCTTACCTTAACGGCAATTCTTCTGTCACCACTTAATTTAAAGACGATTTGATGTACGTAGGTCTTTACTTTCCATACAAGCAATTATTTTCACTTCATGGGTGATTTTGCAATTAATTTTGATTATTCCCAAATTTGTTTCCAAATTATAAAAATTGTTATCGTACAAAAGATTGCGTAAAAAAAAATAAAAAAAACTCCGAAACCAGTCGCTGTAGTGAAAATTTGGAAATCCAAAATTTCATGATCACGTGTTCGGATCTGGCCCAGAATGTTTTTAATTTGCTCACGGTGTCGCCCTGGTTACGTCCAATATGGAGTAAATTTGAAAAAGTCTGACACATTGACCTCCGCATTAATTTTATATATATATATATATATATATATATATATATTGTTAAATTTTAATCCCCCCACCTTCATCTTTAGACCTTCCTGTTCTTCTCCTGTTCTTCTTCTCTCGTCTGTTACCCCTCTCTATAGCTTTTTCAAATTTACTCCATAGAGGACGTAACCAGGCTTTTTCAAATTTACTCCATAGAGGACGTAACCAGGCCGATTATATATATATATATATATATATATATATATATATATATATATATATATATATATATATATATATATATATATATAAATAAAAAGAAAGAACAATCAGATTTATAATCCAGAGTTCTTTAGCATTTATTTTTAAAAACAGTGCTTGATACACAGTAGAGCATAGTATTATAATTATTATTTAAAAATATGTTTTCATCGCGACACAGAAATTACAATGTTTCGAAACCAAAACGCAAATCTCACATTAAACTTAAAATTTAAAATTTAGTTTCATTTTCAAGCGATGCTGAATAACCTTCGAAAAAAATGATTTACTCTTTTTATATAAGCTAAATTATTGTATAGTTGAAGTTGATGGGGTGGGGGAAGAGAATTTAAAAAAATTTTAAGAGGTGTTTTTTTTTTGGGTGGGGGGTTTACGAATGAGGATACACTTATAATTTACGGTGGCAAAGTAGGTGTCGGTTAAGTTTAGGTGTGGGTTTGAAATTTTTCTCCGAAAGTTACTTTGCCACCATAAATTATGCATGTATCCTCATTCGTCAAAAAACCAACACCCCTTAAAAAAATCTTAAAATCTCTTTTCCCAACTTAAACTATGCAATAATTTAGCTTATATAAAAAGAGTAAATCATTTTTTGAAAGTTATTCAGCATCGCTTGAAAATGAAACTAAATTTTAAATTTAATTTAAAATTTAGGTTTTGCTTTCGAAACAAAATTTCATGGAAAACATATTTTTAAATAATAACTATAATATATATATATATATATATATATATATATATATATATGAATATATATCATATATATATATATATATATATATATATATATATATATATATATATATATATATATATATATATATATATATGAATTGTGATTTCAGGTCCATAAACGCGTATTTACGTACCAGGATGTCTCCGTCTAAAACAATTTCCTTTGAATTTCGCGTGACCTTCATTGATTTCACTATAGACCTCCGCTAGTCATCTGGAAATGGCCGAAAAGCAAGCGAGACATTATTATTATTATTAGTAGTATTATTATTAGTATTCAAAACAACAGGACAAAAGATATTTTAATGCCAAACAAATTAGTATCCCCTTTCTCTCTCTCTATTTTATCGCTTCATTCTCGTTCTAAGACCCAATTAACTATCAACGCATCAGTGACTACAAATGCTTAAAATAATAATATCAACATCAATTCATCGCCAATGGATCGTTTAATTTCGAAAGAAAACTAAGAGGCGATATTGTAGCTAATTTATGGTCGAACGTCGCCATGAGAATCTCGTAAAGCCTCGCAATTAGCGTTATTTTGTCTGTTCATCATCTCAAATTACAAGCCATACCCAACTGTCTGTTGTTGAAACTATTATACTGTTACTTTTATTCATTGAAGATTTCGAAACAGTTGCCAAGACTTTCTAATTTTATCACAACGTCCCGACTGCTATAACATTTGGCCTACTTCATCAGGTATCTGTAGAGTACTGAGAGTCAAAAGGACATATTTTTCTTATTCAAATTTCACATAGAGGGTTGATACCTATCTATCTATCTATCTATCTATCGATCTAGTCTCTTTATATCTATTTACAAAGTTTCTTAATACCTATCTATCTATCTATCTATCTATCTATCGAGTCTCTTCTTATCTATTTACATTTCTTAATACCTATCTATCTATCTATCTATCTATCTATCTATCTATCTATCTCAGTCTGTTCCTTATTTATCTAGCTATCTTAGTATGTTTCCTATCTATCTATCTATCTATCTATCTATCTATCTATCTATCGATCTAGTCTCTTTATATCTATTTACAAAGTTTCTTAATACCTATCTATCTATCTATCTATCTATCTATCTATCGAGTCTCTTCTTATCTATTTACATTTCTTAATACCTATCTATCTATCTATCTATCTATCTATCTATCTCAGTCTGTTCCTTATTTATCTAGCTATCTTAGTATGTTTCCCATCTATCTATCTATCTATCTATCTATCTATCGATCTAGTCTCTTTATATCTATTTACAAAGTTTCTTAATACCTATCTATCTATCTATCTATCTATCTATCTATCTATCTATCTCAGTCTGTTCCTTATTTATCTAGCTATCTTAGTATGTTTCCTATCTATCTATCTATCTATCTATCTCTATCTCTCTCTCTATATATATATATATATACAGAGAGAGAAGGGTGAGAGAGAGAGAAGGGTGAGAGAGAGACTGAGACAGAGAGGAGATAAAGAAATAGATAGATACAGTGTATTTCTTATCTATCTCAGTATGTTCCTTATTTATCTATATATAGAGAGACAGAGAGGAGATAAAGTGATATATAGATAGCTATCACAGTAGGTTTCCTATCTATCTATCTATCTATCTATCTATCTATCTATCTATCTATCTATCTATCTCAGTATGTCCCTTATCTAACTATCTAAATATGTTTTACAAAGCCGGGATACATGCTTTCATCTATCTATCTATCTATCTATCTATCTCAGTCTGTTCCTTATTTATCTAGCTATCTTAGTATGTTTCCTATCTATCTATCTATTTATCTATCTATCTATCTCTATCTCTCTCTCTCTCTATATATATATATATATATAGAGAGAAGGGTGAGAGAGAGAGAAGGGTGAGAGAGAGACTGAGACAGAGAGGAGATAAAGAAATAGATAGATACAGTGTATTTCTTATCTATCTCAGTATGTTCCTTATTTATCTATATATAGAGAGACAGAGAGAAGATAAAGTGATATATAGATAGCTATCACAGTAGGTTTCCTATCTATCTATCTATCTATCTATCTATCTATCTATCTATCTATCTCAGTATTTCCCTTATCTAACTATCTAAATATGTTTTACAAAGCCGGGATACATGCTTTCATTCGTTGTGAGAACACCTCCATCGAAAGAGGCGTTGACCATGTTGGGAAATAAAAATATGAACCAGTGATATATAGCTATATTTTGACACGTTTGATTGTTTTCCTTATTCCTATTTAATAAAACAAATTGCATAACTTTTTTGGGTCAACTTCATATATATATATATATATATATATATATATATATATATATATATATATATTTTTTTATTAAGGCTTCCATTATTTCTACACATTCACACTCTATGTCCCAAAAAAAAACACTTGTTCGAACACACAAGAAAAATTAAATAAATACTTAATCGTAGTACCTTTTCTGTCGTTTTAATTTATATATATATATATATATATATATATATATATATATATATATATATTTGTTTTTTAGGCAGCAATCCTTCTTTCATGCACATTTCATTGAATACAACAGACAAGGTGCTTTTATTTAGTTTTTCATACAATTTCTCATGCGAACTAATAATGTTTTTCTTTTCGTATTCAATGAAATGTGCATATATATATATATATATATATATATATATATATATATATATATAAAATAAAATTTCTAGGATACATATTGAGAAAAGAATGCTTCGAGAATTTGGCACTCACAGGGTATGACGAAAGTAAGTAGGGCAGAAGAAAACAACGACAACTTATGTAAATTGTTGATATAATTTAAACTGGGAAGAATAATAATTGCTTAGAGCTACAAAGGATTGAAAGCTGTGGAGAGCCATGTTCACCCATGTCCTGAAGGTTCTATTGTGGCCTTGTTAGGGCCAGAAATAAAGACACAAGAGAGGAATATATTAACAGTAATACAAACGAGAGTGTTAAACCAAGAATGTTCGGTCCAACTGTCAGAGCTGACTGCTGGAAACTTCCCTCTGCAAAAGGCAGTACCTGCTCCTATTTATAGCTGGGAGAGTCCATGCGTGCGTGGGTAAATTAACATAACAGTTCACGGCGCAAAAAAAGAAACAGACAGTATATCAGTTACAAAGCACCGATATTGTATACTGAAGCAGCAAATGTAAACTGTTATGACATTGCATTTTCATTGTTTCTGTAATTGTTGTTGATAACTGCTACGCCAAAGTTCTTTTGCAAAATGCCCAGAAGCGCCCGTTGAAAAATAATGGCGGACTGTCTTAATCCGTCAGTCATTTCTCGTGATCGTCTGTCATTGGTCACCTTATTTCTATGCTCCGTTGCTCGATGACGCTAAGCTTAACAAATTTATTAACACAATCTATGCAAACATTAAGTGACCCACACGCGCGCATATACATTGGTGTCATCACTCCGCTCATCGACAAAGACACAAATATCAACCTTGAATGGCGAAGCAATCAATTTGTTGAAAATGCCTTCGCCAAAGCATCGTTAGACACTGTTGGTATTCCCGGCATGCCTTGTTTCGGTAAGGCGTGCCAACGTCCATTTGATTTTAATCTCGTGCTAAGCGTCTAAGCCGAAATCAAGGTCGGAATTTTGGGCAGATTTTTTTTTTTTTAATTCTATTTTATTTCTCTCATCCTAGGTAAATCTCGTTTTGAAGGTCTCGCGTTTTTTGTTCGGCTTTATGAGTGAGAAGGTGATAGTTACAATGGGAAGAATAAATCAATTTTTTTTTTAACCAATTTCGTAAAGCCATCTCTCATCCTTGACGCTCAACCTCCATCTCTTCCGGTCTTTTTGACTTCAAGATGGAAACATTAACAGCAAAACTAAATAGAATAAATATGCAATCTCTGTCCCGTAATAGTCGTTACATGCGTATACAAATGTATTCGTCATTATGGGACAGAGGTAATAATCATAAAAGGCTACTTTTCCAACAATAGACGTTAAAACATAGAATATTAAATATGGATACGAATAACCGGACAAGAGAATAGAAGTCTCTAACTGGATTAAAAAGTCACATCACGCCGTCCGTATTTGAGGATAAGTCAAGCGGTCGTATTAGTCGAAATCGAGTCGCTGTCATCATAAGATGGAAGATTGAAATGTTCTCCGATTGAGCGCTGCTACACATAAGTATCAAATTAACCCACTATTCAAAATAACCCCATCAAAACCATTCGTCCATGCATGGAATGCTGTTGCCATATCTGGTCTGGTGCCGCCGCTGTTCATCTCGTTGCTCTCGACAAAATCCAAACACGGATATATGATCGGTCTTGACTTGAGATCTCGACTCCAGTCACTTTCTCACAGACATAATGTGGCTTCCCTCTGTCTTTTCTACAAATATTTTCATGACAACTGCCCCGACAAGCTATTTTCACTGGTGTCTCAACGGCATGAATTTAAGCAAGCTACTAGGTTGGCATCTCAGTCCCACCCTTTTACTGTCAAAACAGTTAAATTTAACTGCCTCTTCTACCCCAACAGCTTCCTCTCTCGTATTTCCCGACAGTGAAACTCCCTTCCCCTTACTTGCTTCCCTGATAACTACAATCTTCAAAAATTTCAGATGCCTTGATCCCCATTCTGCTTTTTATCCTTCTCCATACTTCTTTATATATTTTCCTCAATCCCCGCTATACTTTTCTCTTACTTTCACACTCTGTAACCCCTTGCGTACTAGTGGCTCTTCCGCCTTGCTTGGGGTGAAATGCTTATTATTACCTATATCGGACATACTATCACCTCCTTGAATAGACGCCTCACATGTCACTTATCAGATCAAAATGCGACAAAAAAACATCTAGCCAACTAGTATATACAAGATCCATTAAGGAAAATTATAGTCGAAAAAAAAAATCTACACATTATCGGAGACATCTAGCTGTCAGAGAGGCACTGTATATAAAACACCTCGCCCAATTATCGACCTCACCTTGTTCAAAATTGGTAATGGAGTGACGAAAGTATTTTTAAAAACAATAGAAAGATGCTTACTTGAATTACTCGGAATAAACGCTCCTATTAGTATTCAAAACAAAAAAAAAACACACCTCGAACCGTGAAACATGAAGAAAAATTGAAAATGGCTGAAAAAATAATACGGACAATTTTTGCACTCCATTACTCCGACCAAATGGGAAAATGTAAGAATGTGGAAAAAAAGCTAATTAAAAACTAATTAAATGTTCCTTGTCTGTCATATTCAACGAAATAGGTTCAAAAGAAAGGTTGCTGACCAAATATATATAAATATATATATATGTGTGTGTGTGTAGTTTTAATGTATCATATTTATAGCATAAAAGTGGTCAATATCCGGAATAGAGCGTATATAAATATAAAATGTGTGAACACTGATTTCAACAGCGAGCGACGAAAGACTATTCCATGCTTGAACGCAATTTTCAGGCATGAAACAAATTTTACCACTTCGTATTGACCTCAGTTTCTATACCATACATATATATATATATATATATATATATATATATATATATAGATGAGATAAGATTACGATATATATATTTATTTATCAGGAACAGTATTATTGAGAAAATTGTAATACAAAATGGAAAAAAGTTTGTTTATGACGCGTTTCATCCATTAGGACTTCATCGGACTGGTTTTGTTGAAATGCGCATGAACGGGAGACGCTGTTAGTTTCAAAATGTTCTGAAAGAATTTCTTAAATGAGTGTTGCAATCTAGCCAAGTTCAGCTATATTCTTTTTTTATTTCTTTCCACCATTGTTTTTAAATATCCCATATTGTGATAACAGGATATATATATATATATATATATATATATATATATATATATGTGTGTGTGTGTGTGTGTGTGTGTGTGTGTGTGTGTGTGTGTGTGTGTGTGTGTGTGTGTGTGTGTGTGTGTGTGTGTGTGTGTGTGTGTGTGTGTGTGTGTGTGTGTGTGTGTGTGAATATACATAATATCCAACGTCGATAGCACGACTCAGAGTTACATGCAGTTCTTACAAACTTCAGTTGCGGAATATATTCTGGCTGTTATAGATTTCGCGTTCTCATAGTGATGATTCTGTGAATATTTAACAAAACCAACTATATATATATATATATATATATATATATATATATATATTCATATATATATATATATATATATATATTCAAAAGTTTGGTTAAATTTTAGATGTATTATGTCTATTTACTTTATTTTTAATCCTTTCAAGCCCATGAATTAATTTCTTGTTTGTTGTAGAAAACTGATCAAGAAAAATACAAAAATTTTCTTTCAAATAATTTTTATTTCCCAAGTACTTTCAATCTCAATTGAGAGCATCTTCAAGGGTTAAAATATCCGTGGATGCGTATAAAGTAGCTCCGTAAATTCAAAATAATTTTTCACTGTTCATTTACATTATAGGTTTTCAAATTCAAAATTTTCAATAATGCAAGGAAGGTAACCAAGAAATTAATTCGTGGACTTGAAAGGAGTAAAACTAAAATAAAAATAAATAATACATCTAAATTATTTAACCAAACCTGCTTGAATGAAAATCTGCTGCCTAAATTTATATATATATATATATATATATATGTGTGTGTGTGTGTGTGTGTGTGTGTGTGTGTGTGTGTGTGTGTGTTCAAATAAATAGAAAAATAGGAAAGAATACGTTAGGTAAATAATCCGAAGTTCTTTAGTATTTTTGTTTTTATTAAAAAAAAAACAAAAAAAAAACAGTGCTCAATACAAAAGTAAAGCCTAAATTAATTATTATAAGATGCAGAAATTTATTATAAGCCTATTATTATAAAATGCTTAAATTTATTAGAAGCCTACATTAATTATTATAAGATGCAGAAATTTATTATAAGCCTATTATTATAAAGTGCTAAAATTTATTAGAAGACTACATTAATTATTATAAGATGCGTAAATTTCGAGATTGATTATTCTGAAAATTTCCCTTGAGGATGAAACAGGTCTTGATACTTTAATTCAATTTATTTTTAATAATTATATTGAGGTTTTCGGCTCTTTTTTTGAGACATGAGAACTGTTATAT